AGCTCATCAAGGAGCTCTTCCACCACTGGAATAGGGAACTTATCTTTGCCCATTTTTGCATTGAGCTCTATATAATTGATGTAAAATCACCATGTATTATCTTTTTTTAACCAGAAGCACGGGTGACGAGAATGGTGATTGACTGGGACGGATTGTTTCTGTTATTAGCATCTCCTTGCATGGTTTTTAAATTTCATCTTTTAGGATAATGAGGATATCGGTAGGACGAACAATCACCGGTTTTGTGTTTCTTTTTAGGACGATTTCGTGGTCATAAGAGCGAGATGGGGGTAACCCTTGTGGGGTTTTAAAGATTGCTTCAAACTCTTCCGGTAAATCATTAAGGTTTGGTTTTGAACCATTGTATCGAGTGATTGTTACCAAGTTTGCTGCCTCTGGAGACTCCTCGTGCCATTTAATATTTTGCCCACCTACCGTGAATTCCATCTCCCTAACCGTAAAGTCTCATAAAATCTTTCTTGTTTCAACCAACAGATTCCCAACACTATATCGAACCCTTCCAAGGTAATGGTGAACATATATGTGCCAAATTCAAATCCTTGTACCTCTGTTGGAAATTTCTTGCTAATCCCATTGCTTTCCATTTAACCCGCATCGAGTAATGCGATTCGAAGATTAGGTCGGTGTTGGCTTGGCACTAATCTGTTATGCTGCCCTTCCTGCAATGAAATTGTGGGTACTTCCACTATCCAAAAGTTCACAAGCCACCCCATTACCAATCTTAGCCCGAACCTGGAAGGTTTGGTCTGTTTTCTCGCCTCTAATTGCATTTAATGAGATTAATGGTGTGTCTTCATCCTCCCCATCATCCCCTTCCTCATCGTTCATCATGATACAAAACAACTTCGTACATTTGTGCCCAATTGAAAAAATCTCATCGCAATTGAAACATAAGCCTTTGGCTCATCTTTCCTCCATTTCTGCCATCTTGAGTCATTTAAATGTCGGGTTTCGAGTTTCTAATTTTGTATTATTGTTTCCCCTGATGTTAACTGCTCACGAATTCTGTTTCTATTTGACAATGATGCTCCAAAACTCCTTTGTCGTCCCTCCTCCACAAGTTTGAGCTCGACATGTTTGGCTGGGTTCATAGGAAAGTATAGTATGGTGGGTCTAGCAAACTCTACTTCATAATAGATAACATTAGTCAAGCTTTCACAAAAATGCCAAACACTTTGCTCCGGAGTCACGCATGTCATACTCCCCAGTAGCAACTCAAAGCCCTCACAATAGTCTTCCACCGTACTTGTTTGTCTTAGTCGTGTTAGTTCACCCAATGGATTCATGCTCGTTGGAGGCCCAAATTGTATTTTTCACTCTTCAGAGAACTCGAACCAGTTCAAGTGGGTCTTCATTCTACGTAGGTTATGGTACCACCCACTAGCCTGACCTTGTAGTGAAAAGGTGGCATGTAGAACCCAAGCTTCTGTGGGGGTCTGTTGCTCTTCGAAGAAGTCTTCACATCTTTTTAGCCATTCTACTGGATTCCCATTTCCATCGTATGTCAGAAACTCCATTTTGGAAAATCTTGGTACTATACCCCCTCTGTATCCAATATCTTCTGTCTCTTCCTAATCTTTTGGTGACCCTTGATCCCTTCAGTTTGACCCATCTGGTCTCAAGGGTTCCCAATTTTGCTTGAAAGTTTGAGTTTCACCTATTCTCCATGATTCAAAACCCTTGCATGTTCCTCTTCCTGCTCCTCCCTGTGTCCATCCTTTACCTCTTCCAACTAACCCTCCTTAAAATGGAAATTTACTATTTGGATTTGTCCCGAAGATGGTGCCACGTCCTCTTCCACACCCCAGTACCACTAGGTCATCAAATCACTCCATCTCAAAGACCTTGTCCATGCTTTCGTTGTCTTCTCCCTGCTTACTGTTTCTTGTTTTGGCTTAGGGATTGCAATCCTTCTTCCGTCACTGCTTGCTTGGTCTGCAAGGCTGATATAGTTGGCTTCAAATCGTTGGTACTTGTCTTCAAATCGAGGTTGCTTTGTGTTTGTTGGATCATGAATGCTTCCAACTTCTTCATTAGTTCTTCCTATTTTTTTGACATCACGAACGGGTCTGAGACCAAATTTGATATGCCCCAAGATTGTGATCGCGTGATTGGACCTGTATACCTGCGATTTACTGAAGCCGCGGGAGAAGAAGACCCAATCTCCTTAGTAAGGAAATTAGGTTATGCTAATTAAAAGTATTAAAAATTCAGTCAATTCAAGCTTGATTTTATTCCTCTTAATTCCACCCCTTAAATAGGGAAAACCACAAATGCTAAAAAGGAAACAAAATCCTAACAAAACATAAATCGAATCCAACACAAAAATGAACCCTTAACCTAATCTTACTCAAATTTAAAATTGTAAATGTAACATCCCGGGCTTTCAGATATTTTTGAATCATTCCATTGGTATTTAAATATGTCATTTTGGTCCTTGGAATTGGTTGGAATTATCCCTAAGAAGCCATAGTGGCAAATTGGTAATTTCTTGGGAGCTTGAGTTGTACGTTGGGTGTATAAGTAATGAAAGCAAGTTTGTAGATCTTGGATTATCATCTTCTTAGGAAGCTCTAGAAGGTAAAAAGCCACTAGCTTTATGCTTGGATTGTTTAGATCTTGTTTTGGTAGCTTTTTGGTGTTCTTCTTGTCCCAAAAGTCCCAATATTGTGCATGTATTGTTTTGGATGTGTTTAATCGTCCTTTCAGACCCAAGGATGGGTTCTAAGTCATAAAAATGAGGTAGCTACTTTGGATCCTTGTTTTTTGTAGGAGGTCTTAATGGTTTAAGAACATGTATTAAGGACTTTTTGGACGTTAAAGTCTACAAGTTTGAGACTTTATGGTTCTAATGTACTTTTGAATCATGGATCTGAAATTTGAGCTTAAGTGCTTAATCCATTAAGCACTTATGGAAGTTTTAAGCTCTACGAGGGAACACCCCACTTAAGGAGATGTACACCCCGTGTACTAAGTCAACCACCAAAATGGTAATGCGAGGCGGGTACGCCCAACGAGCCGAAGGGTTACACCCCCGCGTACACCTCCTGTTTGGACTTTGGAATTTAGGCTTCGGGTATTTGGCCATCTGTTTCGGCTTTGATGCTTAGGCCCTAATGGACTATCTGGATAAGTGTGTTTTGGGCTAATTAGAGGATTAGATCTTTGGATAAGGCCCAATTTGGAAAATTAGGCCAATCATGGGCCTTGAAGTAATCTGGGACTTTGGATCAAAGATTTGGACTGGGCCTTGGCCCAATTAGGGAAAGGGTAAAATGGACATTTATCCTAAGTATAGAACCTTAGTCAAGAGTGGTTTTCCAATTGTTAATTGGATGTTGTTTAATGTGATAGTTTGAGATTTTTCGTGAGTTAGCAGTCGGAGGTTTCAGCATAGTTTGACATTGAGAGGTGAGTTTCCTCACTATACTTTCGGGTCGAAGGCACCAAGGCCGACCCTTTGGTTTTATAACCTGATATTGTTGATATGTTGAGTATGGAATTGATATGTATACTAGTCTTGATATGCTAGTTGGGTAGATATGTAGGACTACCTATGATACTGTATGTTTATCTGAATATGTTATTATCTGTTATATGCTGACATATTGTGTGGGTTGGGTTGAAGTTGTATTGCTCCGTGTTGTAGCCAACAGACCTTTGAGTATGCCAAATATGAGGTGAGGGCCAAGGAGGGCATGCCAGACTCTTATTGAGGACTAATGGGCATTCTAGATGCGAGCTTATGGTCGGGTAGGACATGTCAGAATCGTACTGAGGGCTTAGCGGTATTCAGTCCAAGGACTGACCAGGCCGAGGAGCAAGCCAGACATAAGTTGTAGGCCGAGGGCAAGCAAGACTTATGTTGTGGGCTCATGGGTAATCTAGTCTGTTAAGTTGTGGACCCATTACTTGCTGTTATTATATTTGTGTTATTTGTTATGTATCAGTATTTTAGGGGAACTCACTAAGCTTTGGGTTTACAGTTTTGGATTATGTTTCAGGTACCTCAGAGGATCTCGGGAAAGCGAAGGCGTGATCCTGCACCTCCGCATGTTTTTGTTTTACGATTTTGGGATTTCTTTAATCTGAAACTTATTTTGAAAACAATTTGTAAACAATGATGGTTTTGGGTTTGATTAAAAAGTTTCAAGAATTTTATGAATGTTATAGTAAATTATAAAACATATCAAAGTTCATATGCCTTAACCTCTTTAGCTTTCCTGTGATAAACATTATCATATTTAGGATCCATAACAGTTCGTAAGACCTCACACATCTTTTGTAATACAGGTGGTACAAGAGTTTATGCATGAGTTGATGACATCAACGGCAAATCTGTCGTAGTAATCTAATAGTTCGGAATTGGACAAAATTCGCAAACAACATATAATTTGGGCTAATTAAGAGAATTTATCATTTTGCCACGACATGTGGTGTTTTTCGGCAATTCAGGATCGTTTAGGGCCTCAAAACACGTTTTTATGGTATATTTATTTGCAACAAATTTTTATTCTAAGTTATGATTTAAATAATTGATTAGGAATATTTTCCTAACCAGTTTTGATCTCCTAGGGTTAGGGAATGATGTTTATCCTCTCTTCCTTATAAGTATCTCATTTTCATTTTTGTTAGACAATTTTTTCCTAGTTCCCATATTGACATCCTTTCATTTTCACATATTCGACTATGATCGTTTCAATTATCCTAGCTTCAACCGTTGGTTGTCTCTCGAGGATATTTATGAACCACTGTAATCTTGCTTACTCTACCGATGAGGTTTAGGTTGTGTTTGTTTTTTTTAAATCCTCTTATAACCTCTTAGTGTTGCGCGGCGCAGCACACACGCAACACTATTAAGTTCGCAGTAGTTTGATTTTTAAAAGGCTTCGGGGTCAAAAACCTCTTCCCGTCCTCTTCTCCATGCAGCATTGGGCTTGGCTCTTCTCACCACTTCTAAACTTAATAACAAAAAAAACATGGAAAAAAGAATTTGTAGCCGCAACATTCTCTTTCTTCGTTCTCCCTTCTCGTCGAACCTATTGAAGACCAGAAGAAATCCTCTAGTCGATCACTGTCGCCGCTCACCACTCACTGTTGTTGCTCGCCGGTTGCTGATGTTGCTGCTCGCCAGTCCCTGCATCTGCTGCCCAATCAACCGTCTTTACTGCCATCGTCTTCAACATCAACATCAACAGGTTAGTTAGTTTTTTTCTGATTTCTTATTTGAGTACCTAAAGGCTACTGATTACCACTGATTCGCTGGTAATTTATTTATTTTTCTAAAACTTTGAAACTGTGAAATAAGATTGAAGAAAAAGATGATAATCTCATTATTTTAAATCTCCAATGGTTTCATAAGGGTCATAATTTGCTGTTTTTCAATAGATCCACCATGATCTATAAGAGAGAAGTTTGTGTTTTGTTATAATTCTATCAGTTAGAGATATTAGAGCCATAAATTGAGTTGAAATTAGCTTTAGTGCTTTGTTATAATTCTAGGAGTTTGTGTTTTGTTCTTTAAATTGGTTTTCTGCTCAAATTTATGTTTAGGATCATGAATTTTTGTGCTGATTTGTTATGAATGTTGGGTAAAATCATAATCCTTGCTGAAATCGTATACTTATATGCTGAAATCATAAACTCATATGCAAGTTTATATGATGAAATCATTGGCTGAAATGGTTTTTTTAAACTTATTTGTTGAGTTGATATCACTTGTATTTCTTGAATGGAGATCAAGTTTATGCTTATATGCAAGTTTGTGCTTAAATCATTGAATATGCTAAACTTATTTGTTGATTATGTTGAAATATGATTAATCTTTGTTGCTAAAGTATGTATTCTATATTTTTTTGTTATTAGCAATGGGAGATAAACATACATGGACCAATGAGCAAACAAAATGCTTATTGCTCACTTGTATTGAAGAAGTACAAACCGTTGGTAGAAAAGGTTTGAGTTTGCACAAACAATCATGACACAAGTTAGGAACAACCATTAAGGAAAAGTATGGTGTATATTTGAATCAACGACAATTAAAAAACGCCTATGATAACCTTAAAGCCAAATACACATGATGGTTATACTTAAAAAACAAAACTGGAAACCTTTACAATCCACAAACAAATACTTTTAACTTAACAAATGAGGAGTGGGAGGACTTTAAATAAGTGTGTGTATATATACACACACACACATACACACATATTTATATGCATATTGTTTATATAGTCGTCATTAATTCTTATATTAATTTTGTTACATTGATTGGGTTTAGGGACATCCGAAAGCCGCTTCTTTGAAAACCGTCCCATTGTTGTTTCCAGAGCTTTGTGCAAAATTCTTTGATGGAAACAGTGCATCTGTTAATCTTATCTATGCCACATCCAAAACACCATCAGGACAGGGATCATCTTCTTTCCATGTCGCACCACTAAAGTTAATGGACGCCCCTTCCATTAACATAGATGAAGATAATTACTTTTCCAATCATACTAGTGAGCATTTTACTCAGCCACCACCTTCTGCTAATTCACCTTTTGCTGCTTCACCTTCTGGTAACCCCAACAAAAGGGCTAAACCCTCAACTCTAGACCTTGAGCTCCTAGTGCCTCACCTGATCCACCTTTATGTGCCTTGCCAAAAGCTTCTATTACTGCTGATGATTTAGCACTAGAGATGCAAAAAAACTCTACGCCATTTGACTCAAGGGCCAACAATTCCCCAATGTTTAGAGAAGCTTGAGTTGCTTGAGTTAGGCCCAGTAGACCCTCTACGATTTGTTGTGTATCACATTTTTGGAGAGACCATGAATATAAGAGAGATGTGGGTAAATTTACCCAATGATTCACAAATATTAAGAGGATGGATCGAGATGACAACTACAAGTTTAGGAGTTTTAAAGGATGGAAAAGTTGTTCATTAAGTTTATATGTTTAATTTTTTTAGGTTTTAATGGCATGTTTTGGAATTATATGGTTATGTGTTTTGGTTATTTGCTACTTGAATGTTATTTGTAGTATTTGGTGCTTGAATATTATGTTATTTGGTATTTGATTTTTATGTTATGTTTTTTAGTACTTGAATCTTATGTTATTTGGTACTTGAGATTTATGTTATTTTATTTGGTACTTGAAATTTATGTTATGTTTTTTGGTACTTGAGATTTATGTTATGTTTTGTGGTACTTGAATCTTATGTTATGTTATTATCTTATGTTATTTGGCTCTTGAGTCTTATGTTATGTTATTATCTAATGTCATGTTATGTTTTGTTGATTAATAGGTTTGTAATGGATCACGACAAAAAGATACAACTCATAATTCTAATGTACTTGTACGTCCGCTGCTTTTGGAAGAGGGGTGTCAAACGAGTGCGGGACAACGATTCGGAGATGAATTTACATTGGAGTTACTTCACCATAATCCTATACAATGTATTGAAGTGCTACACATGTCCTGTGAATCATTCGTCTGGCTATGTGCTCATTTTAGAGTAAACTATGCGTTAAAGGATAGCAAACATGTGTCGGTTGAGGAGAAGATAGCTATGTTTTTTATGATGATCAGTCATAACCAACGTTGTGTGATTAGCAAGAAGAGATTTCAACACTCAAAGAAAACAATTCATAAGTTTTTTCATGAAGTGTTGGACAAAATGTTGTTTTTCGCACATGACATTATAGTACCAACTTCTTTGATCTGAATCCAAACATTCCGGGACATAATAGGAGGCTACGGTGTGTGTTCAAGGGAGCAGTTGGTACACTTTCTGGCACTTTGATACATGTTGTTGACCCTGCAAACAAACGAGATTTATATAGAAGTAGGGGAAAAGGCGATTGTTACCAAAACGTATTAGCAATATGTGACTTCAACATGATGTTTACGTTTGTTGTGGCCGGTTGGGAAGGAATAACACACAATTCTAGAATTTTATCAGAAGCATTAGTAAATTCACATGCACCATTCCCGCTTCCACCATTAGGTAAATTTATGGTTATTTAAATAGTTGTATCTTAGTTTGAAAAATAAAGAGTAAATTACTGAAAACGTCCCTATGGTTTGATTAAAATTACACATTTGGTCCATAATCTTTTTTTACACTCGGATCGTCCATGTGGTTCGATTTTGTTTCTTTTTTCATCCCTATGGTTTGGTCAACATTGCAAGTTTGATCCCTACCTTTATGTATGTAAGAAACGAAAAACACAACAAAATCAAACCACAGGGACGATCCGAGTGCAAAAATGATGTTAGGGACCAAACATGCAATTTTTACCAAACCATAGGAACGATGTCAATAATTTACTAAAAAATAAATGACTTTTTTTACAGATAAATATTATCTTTGTGATGCCGTCGATGCAAACATTCGAGGTTTTATGGCACCGTACCGTAATGTGAGATATTGGCTTGGAGATTTTCGTCGAAGACGTGCATTAACGAATAAAGAAAAATTTAACCATACACACGCAAAACTTCGGAATGTCATTGAGCGTTCTTTTGGTGTCTTGAAAGCATGAATCCCTCTATTGAAGAGGATGGCATCATTCTCATTGGTTACACAACGAAACATTACCCTAGCATGTTTTGCGCTTCATAATTTTATAAGAAGAGAGAGACTACGTGATGAGTATTTTGCACGATATGATGAACCAAATGTCTTGGTTCGGAATAACAATGTAGTCGTCGATAATGATGAAGATGAGATTCCAACACATGGTACTGCAGCGGACCGTGAATATATGACCCAATTACGGGATGAAATTGTCGAACAATTGATGCAAAATATGGAATGAGAATTATTAAAGTTTGGTTGTATGAATTTTATTTAAAAATATTATTGTAAGACTAATTTGTTTGTTTGAATTTTATTTCAATGCTTTAAGACTACAATTATTAAATTTTTGGTATTAAAAAAACTATTTTCGATTTATTAAGTTACTTTATTTTAAATTTTTTAATATCTACAGCAGCCTACAGATGTTAAAAAATAAACATGCTTCTCATTACAGTCTGCAGCACTTTGGTCCACCTCTTCTGCTGCAGAGGACTGCAGAGATGGTCCGCGGACTTCAAACAGTTTCAATTCGGAAAAACAAACAACACCTTACTTATCATATCTGGGATCATATCCAATAAGGTTTCCACTGTAATATCATTACAACAGCCTTATTTAAGCAACCTTTACTTTCTTCTTGTGCTCTTTCTTTATCAACCAACATTCATACCCATACAAAAAACTGATGTTACCGTCGCCTTGTAGATTTTTTTCTAGACAACCTTTTTTGTGACATGAAACCCATGCCATCTCACCCTTTGATGCGGGTGAAGTCATTATGTTCACCACTTTACTTATGGATTATAAGCTCAAATACTTGAAACTCTCTTTTGGTTGTCAAACTTGATTACCAATACAAAGTTCTACTTTTTCACTGTATGCATGTTCCTTTTAAAATTGCACCATATATTGTGTCTTAATTATGGTAATCCATATACCATTTTCTTCCAACGATGCCTTTCATGTATCCAACCTAGTATCTATCACCCATAATATCATTAGCAAGAAAATACTTCATAGAACCTCTCCTTGAATCTCATGAAAAATTATGTCTTTGATCAGACCTATAATGTAAGGACTAAGCTTGGATCCTTTGATTAAGTTTTTTTATTGGGATGAACTTTGTGTCACCAACTATTTGTTGTGTGTAAGCCTGAGAATGATTTTTTTTTATGCACAAGATCTTCATATATTTATTACTTCTTTTAATGGTCTCAATGATTCATAACTATTGATTACTGAATTTTCAATAATAGATATATTTTCATCAAATAGAATAAATATACATACAATGATGGGATGTATAATAAAAGGTGACGTATACATGAGCCTATACAAGTATCATGGGTATGGTTGTCATGTTTGAACTGGACCAAAACCCAAGAAATAAAGGCTATAGAAGCCCTTTGGTGAAGATATCGAAATACTAAGACATTGATGGAACATGTAGAACTCTTACCCTCCTAAAGCGACTTGACGTCATGTGAAGTGTTTATCAATCTTAACATGTCGGGTTCGATGACACATGACCGGGCTTCAGACATGTAAACTACACTGACATTGTCATGATAAAAAGTGGTTTCTTTGGTGGGTGAAGTGTGGAGTTGGAGAAACCAACATCTCTCAGCTATAACATTGGTGTTGCGTGGATATTTAGCCTCATCATTGGATGTGGAAATCATGCACTAACACTTGACTCATTTCTTGTTTCTCAAGAAGAAGCTTGAAACGTGCTTATAAAAATTTAGAAGAAAGGTTCAATGTCGAATAAGTGTTGCATGGTACACATATTTGGAGGATAACTCTTTGATCATATATGTAACATTGTTTATCTCGGGTATTATGACACCAATCTTATCAAGTAGGTCCTTGTCAATTTTAATACATGTACAATATGCACTAATCGTGAAATTTCCAATGCTAATGTTGCGGAGTTCATTGTCGGGTTGAATGATCTTTGTGTCTTTATCTTCACAGAATAATCAGATTTATCCGAACTTGATTGGCCGCATTTCGTTTGAAAATTATTTTGAGTAAGGTTTGGGAAACGTCCCATTGATCCAAAGCTTTAAGAGTAGGTTTTCTTCCATTCGGGTTCATCACATTTCATGTTAGGGGCATCACATAAGGTATTGATGTTATTAATCACAAAAATCTAGTAGAGTTGGTATAGAACATCACATACCAAGCATCATAATTTAGGTGATCAATGTCAAAATGAGAGGGCGTAGGCTTTTATGTTAGTAAGGCCACATGGGTTCTCTAAAGAAGGAGATTCGTTATTGTCCGTCATGACTAGGGTTTAAAGGAGATTCTCTAATAATCAATTTCCCTCGATGGATATTTTCCCATTAAACATAATAAATAAAAATACAATGATTATACAATAAAACACCCATTTATGAGTATATGCTTAGTTTTGATATTTGTATAATTTCTTTTGAATGACAAATAATTCTGAATTTTATTTATGTTTATAACCGAGACTTAAACTTTCAGTTTTAAAAAGAGAAGACAACATTAGATACTATTGGACTAGAATCCATTTGGTTAATATTTGTATAATTAATACTAAAACATTTCTAACCTAACAATTAAAGTTATAATTAACTAAAGTATATTCATATTTTTCATAAAGAAGGATAAAAAGAAGAAGAAAAAAAAAGACATTTAACGTATATAAAACCAAGGACCGCAAGCTTTTTGTATTCTGCTTTCTCCGCCCGAGCAACCATCAGCCTTACAAAATGACAAACCGATCAAAAGACATCCCACTCATCTCTCGTCAATGGAGTCAACACCCCTCAAACTCCTCCTCTTCCTCACTCTCTTCCACCACCTACAACCACACTCGTCGGCGTCAACACTCCCCAAAGAAGCTCTCCCCACAAAATCCGGCTACCTTCCGGTCAATTCCACCACCGGGTCCGCCATATTCTATACCTTCTATGAAGCCCAGAATTCTAGCACTACTTCTCTTTCTGAAACCCCACTTGTCATTTGGCTTCAAGGAGGACCAGGTTGCTCTTCCATGATCGGAAACTTCTACGAACTCGGTCCATGGCGGGTGACGGCTTCTGGCAAACAAAACGTCGAACATCTTGCCCT